GCAGGCCGCACCATTATTTTGATGCCGTAAAATGATAATCAGTATTTTTGAGATTTGAGTTGTGAATTATGGCCAAAATATCTTCATTGTGAATGTTTGATGTCATTGCTAATCTAATATGCCACTCCAGTGTACGAACATATGCATCAAAATGTTACACCCCACGCAGTATAGTGAGTTCAGTTGAACCGTTGCTTGCTAAGACACCTCGTACCATCACCGTGTTTGGATTGCTAATCAGCGTTCTGAAGTACCGATCTTTCCACAGATCATACCAGTAGTAGTTTCACGCGTCGAGTTCATCTCACTTAAATTTTTTCGTAATGGACGAAATTTCATTCTTTTTCCAAGTTACTTGAGTTTCAGTTAGTAATTAAAGTCTTTCTACTTGTAAAGTTGTTTAAACTATGCGCCCTCTAATTCTGTTGTATTTCATACAAGGGACCGCTTGAAGTGTTCGTTTTACCGTTGGCACAGAAACGTTCAAGTCATTCACCGTTTTCGTCTCCGATGGATGACTCACGGAGTTCGAGATCTTTTTTCTGGCTTCCAATCCATTCATGACTGACTTTTAGCTGTTTCCGCTTCAGAATATCGTACCACCGTGTGATCGGGACCTATTACACGGCCCGGCTATCTTACCTGGGTTGACATTGATCCTACGAAGGGCTTCACTTCGAGTCAAGTATTTGCTTTATTTTTTCGCTATATTTCTCGTTATCTTTGTGCGTTTAATGTTATTGGGAGTGACGTGGGCATGATCGCCAGTCTGTCAACTACTGACATATATATATATATATATATATATATATATATATATATATCCTATTTGGCCCCTTTTATTCAAAGGAATTTTCTGGGATACGATCTTGCTAATCTCCATGTGTATAGTTGCTTTGTTTTACCAAAGCCATCTATTCGGATTCATTTGGTCTGAACATTGTTACCGAAGTGTTTATCACTCTCGATCGTCTCCCCCTTCCCCCGTACACCCGTGCGAGATACGTGATTCGATTGTTCATTGTTGCATATGCTTGTATTCACTTCCGCGGTACCGCCCATTTGCTTTCCCAGAATGCCAACAAAGGAATGTACGCAAACTCGGATTCTGAAAGTCCACAGTCCCCGGAACAGGTCGCGCGTATACAACTACGTAAAGCCCGAAAGGTCTTGGCTGAACGTCGCAACTCAAAACCGTCCATTTGTGTCCCGGTTGTACCACGAGCGAAAATTGAAGTGAGTCTGCAACGTCGAACTGAGGAAATATCCGTTCTTCTTTGGCATTCATTTGTGTTTTTGTATTCACTGGTATAAACCTGAACCAAGTTTCACTGTCTGTTAATAGATAATTTAGCCCTCATAAAGATGAGTAGAGCCCTGAGTGTTCTGTAATGGATTCGACTCACGCAGATTTCTGTCAATATTGCCACTGATTCACGGGATCAAACACTGTATCCATTCTACAGAGGACAATCACACACAGATTCCAACAGTCCATTACTGAGTGCTCCACACAGTGAGAGCGAACGGGAGAAAGAAGTCCTCTATGTACGTGAGCATTGGGCAATGCCAAGCGAAGCACTGCATACACACACACACAAGAGAAAATGCAGAACCACAGTTGACCGCTGGTACGAACCGTCTTGGGGCAAGGGGATGAGGGGACAATGTCCCTCCGGCACCCTTTTCTGACAACCTTTCATCAATCCTAGTTTGGGTCGGCTTGTGTCCTCGTCCAGCAGGGTTTCTTGTGTCTTAAGAACCACGGAAAAGGATGTAGAGAATTGGAGCCGGTTATTCAACTCCTGAGGTTATTTTTTCGCAGATTTATTTTCTTTTCGTACACAGAGCGAAGAAAGTAAACTTTGAGGCTGAAATGCAGTGTAACTATTCGGGCTTTTTTGAGTTTCACCAACCTTTGAAGTCCCCGGTTTAGCGCTCGGTTATTTTTTACCCAGCATAACAGCATGATTCCGTGGTTAGAAGGGCTTGGGGTTACACTTTGAAAATCGGATTCAACACAACCACCTTTCGGGCCTCTTACCCTGACTGTCTAAACTTTCAAGTCTAGCTGAATTCGATGGTGGTGAAAACCTACATTCCTGGTTCGAACGCAAGGGGTGGTAATTCTCTCCTCGTGTATAAACTCGGAGGGATTGTGACTCACCAGAAATTTGTGCTGTCTTTTGAAATCTTGTACTCGGACGAAAGCAGACAATCCCCTGGCCGTCGTACACACTATGTGAAAAGTAGCAGTTTATCATTGTTTTGCCCAGTCAAGGTAGATTTTTTCTGTAGATTCCTTCCCGGACATTTTACATTTCGTTAACTCTATTGCCACCATAACCTGCCGAGATTAGATTAGGAGAAGTTAGGGTTCAATATGCTGTACGGCAAGCGGATAGATGAAAAGAAGTGCCTTACTGAAGTCCCGGTTTCGGTCATCAACAGCGCTGCGAACAAATGCTCTGAACGATATGCATGAATTTCACAACGAAAATGGACAGTCTCTAAATCACTTCGTGGGATTCGGACGCGAGCACTTGGACACTCAGCTTATCCGCAGCCGTTTACTATACATGAACATATTTGTGGTTTGTCTGATACGCTTCTCAGACAGTTCGAATTTCTGATACGGGATTAAGTCCATATCAACCTCAATATTGATTTGTGTTCGGAGAAACAGTGGAGAAAAAACGGATGTTTTTTGTTGTTTTTGTTATAATCAATGAATTTTGAACGATATGCATTCCTTGATGATATCGGTTGGTTCAGCTCACTGATTACAAGGTTCGACCCCCTCCCCAAACTTTGAATTTAGACAGTTTCATTATTGTGGAACAACTAAATACCATGGTTCTACTATCGTAGTTTGATGTAATTTCGCATTGCAATTCCTGGGTTCTTAGTTTTGATTACACACCGGTGTGTTATGGACAGCAGACAGGGTGAAACCCCATGGTCACGAAGATCTGCTATTAGACTATCCCTAATCGAACCTGGGTCTCTCATAACCATCAGATTTAGAGCTGGTGTTATTCAGCACAATAATACTTGCAGGTCATTTGTCCGTGACGTCCGTCTTTCCTACGAGACTGAACAGCATGCTGCTGGACTTCGGTTAATCCTGCTTCATTTTACTTTATCATTTTAAACAATCCGAAGACAGCTTGTCTCCTTAAATGTTATGCTTACTGCGCCTCCCTCGTATTTTCGACGTTTCTTCACTTCCACGCATTGTTTTCCTGGGCTTCATTTTTTCTTTGCCTCGTGCGTGTGACCCCGCACGCAACGATCCTTATATCGAAAATGATAGGTTCCACTTCTCGTACCAGACGCTTTATTACACTTTTCAACTTTTACTCCGCACTATTAAAATAGGCTACATTGTTGAGTATTGCACTCGTGCTTAGGTGTTGGCTGTCGGCTCCATCGGATATCCACCGCCTTTCTGTTGCGTCATTTAGACGAATATCAACCGCTGGCGTACATGCAATGTAACCTCTGTTATTTGACGAAGACCTAGTTGAGCCCCAAGTTTGCGTCTGCTCCAGCCACGATGGAATCGTATCGGTTGTATCTGGTTTCGGACTGTACCAAATAACCAGAACCTTTATACAGGGATCACTCCATGATTTGCTCGTAGTTGTGATACTGTTCAGCGAAAACCGGCATTATTCTTGGTGAATGAGCTACCTAAACCGAACACCAGAGGACAGTATTTGGAAACCACAGCTCGTTGATTCGGGGAATATGTGACCGGTGAAATATTAAATCTTTGACGGTTCCCACGTTCAGGGTACCCAGCACTCCCTATCCATCAATCAAGCCGATGAGCATCTGGGTCAAGATTTCCCCCAAACAGTTCTTACGTTATTATTTCAGAACTGAACCCGAAATCTACGAGCTGTGCGAGATAAGCTTTATTCCCGTACCTTTATTTCAATCGATGGCAAAATCTTCCCCACGGGAAGATAGTAAGTGAGCCAGTCTTCCCTGGTGACTTTTTAAAGGAGCGTTTCCTGAGGCTATTCAACATTGTTCCGGGTATGTCATCCAAAAGGACGTAGACCATCGAGTCTAATGGACCGATTTCCACAGTTCCACTACAAAAATTACAATAACCGTTGATTCTACAAAGGTTTAACTGCAGTTTTGATTTTCTTTTAAACGTGTACTTTGCGGTTGATTGTACAAGTCAACCTATGAGGTGCCTAATACTCTATGAGTGAACATGAAAACAGGAAGGGAGGACAAGGCTGTTTGATTAGGCGCATCGTCAGTTTATCCTGACACCCAATATGGTGAGATCTAATGAATACTCTCGGTAGCGTGCGATCGAATTGAAATTGTACTTTTACAGATCGATTCCGCCGCAGTGGGTGACAAAGGGTGTACACGTGCGAACTAAAAACCTCGAACACTTGGTTAACCGTAAATCAATATAATCCGGCAGTTGACCTTGATCATTCATTGTACCGGGTGATTGTGGACAAATGCCAGAAGGACATATGGCCGGTAATATAAACCAGCTTTTTTTCATCCATTATGTAGCGTTCTCTCAGAACTCACTGTCCTGTTGCTCACCTCTCTCCTTCTGTCGTGCTATCTAAACCCAGGTCATGTTTGACCAGCAAACTTGCAATGTACACGCCCTTCACTCTAGCTTTCATCGTCCGTTTTCGTCACTGATTCACAGTTGGGTTGCCACACACGCTATGTAAAATCCTCGTGTTTCTTAAAAGCAAAAAATACAAGTATACTTTGTGGCAAGTCAGCCCGTAATCTGCATGGAATACCTGATTTGGTGGGCGGGTTTCGATTTAAGTTAACAGGTATTCAACTGTGTTTCCCTTATTTTCTATCGGGCAGTCAAAAACCTGACTGACTATCACTGAAGACGACACTTGAACAAACATGAATTGACAATTCGGTTAAGCCCTGGTTAGAGCTGGTTGGCACAGTGATGACATTCACTACTTCTATGCGATGGGTCCGGAGTTCAAAGCCCGGACGGTACGGCGGAAGTGCACTACTGATTAGCTCTAATAAGAGAGAAACTTGAGTCTAGTGCTTCGGAGTCTATGGTTGACTAGATGTATTGTATGTGAAGGTGAATCGAAACGGTAGTCAGTTCAGATTAATATTGATCATCCCACAACACTACTCACAAGTAACTGAGCTAAATGCGAAATATAAAGTGGCCTCTTACTGAAAATAATGTTGGTGAATAGAAACCCATCTTTGATAATCAAAATTGTTACTTGAAAGTTGTTGATGGTTTTATTCTACTATATGGTGAATTTCTTCATGTAAAGACCAAGTGGAGTGAACTGAGAAACACTGTGCAGCTGTTCCGCTCTCTTTGCGCCTAATCAGCAACGCTAATCTGTTAGCCCAACTGAGGGTCTAATCTGGAACCTCATACGTAGAACATAAGCATCGTACTTACTTGACCGCCGGGTAGGTAAAACAGTCTTTCATTCCATTCTGTACACATCATTGCTCAACTCATCCTTGCAAGCTTCTTTCCGGCATTACACCTCACTCGTCTGAGCACTAGCGTTCAATGTTACAACCTAGTTGGGAACATTCCCAACTGGACTCCACTGTTCTCAGCAGTGGAAATCTCATGTTCGATCCGCAGTTGGTAGTGTTATTCACGATGGAGATGAGACCCAATCAGATCAAAACAGTTGTGCAGTGCTCCCTGATTTTTTTTATCAAACCCCTCATTTGCTCTGTATACAACTAAACTCACTGTATAATTGAAATTTCATTTGTTAATTGTATGTTCACTAAATATCCTCAGGGTGGTTGTGAGTGGTCAACATGTGCTTCACGAAATGCTCTGATGACATCGGCTGTCTCGAATGGCCTCAATAGAGTAAACCCTATTCACCGCCTTCCCGCTGTAGGGCTGTTTTCACGCCGAAGTGAGAAGATGAAAAACCAACAACCGAGTCGGTTAACCACTGGCAGTTAATCTAGGGGGATTAGCCAAAAACCTTAATTCCGAACCAACCAAGAAGAGGTGTGTAATTACAGTAGTCACTTGCTCCATTTAACTTCTAAATGTATTATGTATTTGGACGTTTTATCCCGTGGAAAAGGTGTGTAGTCGGATTAACTGAACGCCGGCTCCCAATAGATCGCGGTTGTAACACACCGCCTTGCGGGTCAGTCTTTAGCTAGCCAAACTCTCGGTTGTGAATACCCTTAATAAATGTCACTTGTTTTTGCTTGGGTAATATGGTAGGTACTAGAGACCTTTTTGTTATAAGGTTGATTGTGCCAGAATTTGTTTGGCATGTCTAGAATCAGACGCGTATGAGATATAATAATAATAATAATAAAATCATACACCACATTCTTCTTTGGAACTTTGTCGTAACCTATCAAACTCACAACGTCAAATTTTCTTCCTCATGGCCGATGGCCGCTTTATCTTTTGATTAGCATTCGAAATTACTTCGATGAACTCTTTTTTGTGAAATCTCGGTATCTGAACTTTCTGACTTCTGTGAATGTCTTTGGGACCCGATCTTATTGCCTTATCATGGTTCATATGGAAAACATTAATAAATCACAATTGAGCCTTTTTCTCCGAAGCAAATATCATGTCATGTCAAACTTACTCCGGCACCTTTTTTAGTGATTTCGCTCTAGCAAGTTGACTGAATGCTAATTTAAGTGCCAGGTTGATGCGAGTTGAACCGATATGTCGTTTCTCCATAGCTTTCGATATTATTGTTGCTCCGTTCAATTCCACCCATCCCATCGGTGTTTCATCCGCTTCTTCAGTTCTAACCCGGGGTTCAGTTTACTGGTTCCCATAATCGAACAGTAATTGCTTTTTTTATGGTTCTCTCTAGCTAGCTCTAGTTTTCCTCCCGCGAAATCACCGCATGAACCGTACGCCCCATATTTAAGCACGGAAGAATACCTGATCGCTCATAGCAGATTTGTTAGGATACAGTGTGATAAAGAAGCCATTCATTTTGTCAATCCATACTGAACAAGGTTTCGTACGTATTGAAACCTCATCAGTTTGTCTTTTCGTCGCCATACAATGTACTGGCTGCACTCTGGATCACCACTTCAGTAACATTTTTCTTTTTTCTCTAAACCGCTTTACAGTGTGGTCCAATTGGAGCCCATTTAGTCGTCTCTCGTTTGAATATAGGTTTATGGGCTTTCTGCGAGGTTGTAAACGTGTTCTGCAGGTAACTAGTTTGTTTGTATCGGTGTAGTTTTCACGAGGTTGATCAAGACTTAGTTCCTATTCCGGTATGTCATGCAAGTGTTCCACGCTGCTCCCAACTTTAAATTTTTCCGTTCATTAACTTACCAAAAGAGTAACCGGAAGATCAATTGGAATCGTAAAAGCGCAATGCGATGCTATTTTTGGTTGTGGAAACTAAAAGCCCGTCACGGCAAAGGTGGTATCACGACTCGGACATTGTGTTATGGTGCTTCTCTTTCACTGCTTTCGGTGCATCAACTACTGTGACTAATAGTTTTTTCTTTTAATTTTTCGAAAGTATGTCAGTCGTTCGCGAAAATATCGGTTCCCAAAGGTCGATGAGCCATGGGCCTGGCTACTCAGTTTGAGAGAAGTACTGTGACATGTGGCACTGCAGGCTATATGCGTTTTCTATCCGGGGAACGTGAACAAAACTGAGAAATGACCGAACAGAAGCCCGAGAAAGTTTGTGTACTTGATATGAACTACTAAATCTGAGGAAAGAAAGCGTTTGAGAGGTGAGAGTAAATGTTCAAAGGGCACCATCGACAATAACCGCTCATGTTGGCACCGATTCCTGTGAGTCATAAGATAGCAGTCCAAAAAATACTGCATAGCTCTTGAAGAATTTCATTTCCTTCTGCTACTTCGTAAACCGGTTTTTTCTACCACAGTGGTAGTGTCCAGGCTTTGAATATCATTTGCTGGTCCTTAAGGGCTAAGTTGCACGACTGGTACTCTCCACTGGTAGGACAGTTCGCTCGGTAACGTGTCTAGCGAATTGTAATCTTAATGTAGGTTATCATTTTGATGGTGCGCTGCTTTTACATTCGAATGAAGTCGAGTAACCGGCTCTAAGGTGGACATTATTATCAGTTTAATCGACTGTCTTTCTGCTTTTTGTATTTACCCCCAATGAAAATTCGTATTTGGACACTGCTATCTAGACCACACAAGTCTGGTGATCAAATTGAACAAATGTAGCCAGAACTAGGCGCCAAGTTTTGAGTCATTTTGGGCGCGCACCGGCGCATACACTTAGCCTCAGTAAATTGCGGCGGCTGGAGTGTGACGTATAGGCCTTAACAGTGTAAAATGCCAACCGAGGCAGGTAATTGATGAAAAAAAACTAAGGGTGATCAAAATAAGACCTGGTATGATAGTGTAGAAACCCTAACCAATGGCCTGGCTCAGGTAGGTCGCATTACGTCTGCTTGAAGATACTCGGTGATATGGTGGATTTTTGTAGCTGAGGTCGCCCGTTCATCCACTCACGGAAACTTTCAACACTGAACTTTTTTTCGTTTCTTCTTTCTCTCACTTTTTCAGATTATGGCTGCACGTTTGGAAAACGTCTCTGGTGATGTGATGTCTTTTCTTCAGAAAGCCTATGTGTTTTGGAAATTGAAGAGAGAGTTCCGACGTGGCGTCCCTCTGCTCAAACGCTTGCAGGCTGGTTCTGCGCATAGGAGTGCTGCGAATTTCGTGAGTCTCATATGTCCCGTTTTTACCTTCTGTTTTCTCTAATTCAGGAGTCATCAGAGTCCAGTCTCTCCCCCCCCTCACCCTCAGTTGGCAACACGCATGTTTTTCTAACATGATGTCCGTAGTGAATAAATTTGACATCTTCACATGTGAATGTTCAACTCACTTAAGATCGTATGAGTTTGCATAGCGAACAAATGTGAACAGCTGTGACTCTAAAACAAAGGGATTGATGGGTACCTCGGACAACGTTCTGACGTTCCTCACTCGCTACAACATAAAACCAACGGGTTGGATTGATTGACACACATGTGAGGTTCCACAATCAGTATCAGAAAGCATTGTACACTCATAACTAGATGGCTTAACTTGATCAGCATTGCTTCGCCTAATACGGGAGGTCTGCAATTCTGGTTACGTAACAACGGTTTAAGGGATAGAAATGGGTTCACGAAGTTTCCGTCCTCCGTAAGATGCTTCATGATAGATGACACACGATTCCGTTTGTCACTTTTACCTTTGGAAAAGTGTTGCGTCACAGATTTCACCGCTAATGAATGGGTTTTTTGTGGATTTCATCGCTTAGAATGAACATATATGGCGGCAGCATTTTTGCCGTTCCAAGTACCATATCGCTCGAAGAATGTGTTGACATATATTGATTGTACACAACTTGTGTTTCTGTCATTCACCTCATACCTTCCCTCCAACACTTGGTCGACAACAGGCTGCCTCAGTCGACACGGAAGCGCAACAGATGCGTGCACAACTCAAATTTTGGCAACAACTGCGACAGGATTTAGAGAAAGCTCGTCTGTTGGCCGAATTGATACGCAAACGAGAACGTGTGAAACGTGACATGTTCCGGTTGTTCATGGACGAGATTGAATTACAAATTCAACCGATGGACACATTTCTTTTGCGAATATTAGAACAGTTACAGGTGAACTTATTTCAGAATTGCTTCACATCCAAAATCGTGTTCCTTTCCCCAATATTTTGTAATTATTTTATCAGGATCACCAAGTTTCATCCATCACCTTTATCAAATACTACCTCAACATTGCCTGGTATGTGATTGTACTTTTAATACCTCATATCCAAACGAGTTCACGGGTCTCGCAATGAATTTTCGTCGAATGTGCATCTGAACAATGCTAGATAATTGTATCCGGCTAGCCACGGGACTTATTTATACATTTGTTATCAATAGGTTAAAAGAACGATCTGCGCAGGTATGGTGTCCAAATGACGACGATGTATGTTGTTGTCACAAATTCCGTCGGTTAGCAAGGCCCTGGATTCGAACCCCTCGGAACAGTCTATCTGTCGTCATGAGTTGCAACATTCCTTTTGGTTAACTCTTTCTGGAGCGCGTCATTCGAATTCTCAATGCTAAGCTCTTTCCCCAATCTCACTTTTCCACTGTCATGTATTATCGTCACGAAGGTACGAAAACTCTGACCAGGGTACTGGGTCACATAGGTCCTGTTAGGTTCTCTGTATGGGGACCTCAGGAGCATTGTAATTAATGGTTGGAGACACTGAGTGATATGGCTGAGTGGCGTTCCTACATCTCATTTTTTTGCAACCTTAGACCACTGAGATTCTCCTTTTTATGTTCGACTGTACTTTCAACTTTCTTGTCTTCATCCAAATGGGCAACCAAAACTGCATGGGTAATGGTTGTACAAACTGAACTGAACTGATCATCTAAAGTACCCTATTTGTAGATTGCATATAGAAACCTGAAAGCCTTAAGCTTGATGCGTTTGTTGAGGGTCATCGACGTAGCATAGCCATAAAATCTGTAAGAATTCTAATTCCAGCGCATCGCTAATCTAATACGATATTTGAGTCGACATCTTTTCGGTCCTTGGGAACTTCTTTTGCCTTCGCGGTGAATTATGTCACAGTGTTCAACATTCTTGATGGACTTATTTTTTCCGTCATCGAATCCGGTGACTACAGGATCCGGTCTTCTTCCATTGTACGACGTGTATGAAAAAATTTGGATCATACTTCGCAAAAGCCTTCCAAGTTTCTAATAACCGTATTCTCAAGCTAGCTGCTCTGCTGCTTCTTAGTAGGCAGTTAAGCATCTACCGTGTTACTTTGTTGGTATGCTACTCACTAATGAAAGTTGACTTACGGTATGCATAGCAATGCAATTCAGCCAAGATCGTCAGAGCTTTTATATATATATATATATATATAGTACAATAAGTAGTTTATAAATGAATGGACAGAATTTCCCTGATAGCACACGACCAGTTTTACGGTTCTTGCCACTCGTTAGGCATGCGTGTCCGGTAATCTTTGTCTTTCCATTCATATACTTGTACCCACGAGGTATATTTTCGTCACAATAATAAGATATATATGTGTATATCACTTCTGAATTCAGTACTTGTGCGAAACTTATTACAGTACAGCGATCTTTAAAAAATGAAGACATTTTCATGATTTGTTCATAGGCTTGATGCTGTCAGCCTGTTCAGACCAAAGTAGTTGAATTTTCTTGAGCATTTTAAACCGGATCTTTCGGCTAGCCATGACCTGACACGCTATGCGGTGGGGCGGTTTGGGAGGACAGTAATCCGTTGGTGCAGGTGTCCAGTGCGTCAGACCACACACTTTGGATGGAGTCAAAACGTCCCAAGTGTCCAATACACCTCGATATCCCATTGATCCGGTGACCACTGCCACAAACAAGGTGTGGATGATTGTGGTTCATATGCCTTGAGACATCTGTGGTGCCGTCGCGACATCCGGCTGTCACTGAAGGGTCGAGTATATGCTGCAGTTGTTCGGCCAGTTCTGCTATGTGGAGCAGTTGGCCATTAAGAAAACAGGACAAAGATAGACTGTCGGTGTTTGAACACCGCTGTCTACGTAGCATTGCCCTAGTCTGGTGGGGCAGCAGGACGAGCAGTGCTGAGGTCAGGCGAAAAGTTTTAGGCAACCGCGACCGCCCCCTGGAGCAAGTGGTCGACCTCCATAGAATACGTTGGTTGGGGCATGTGTTACGCATGTCTCCAAATGGGCTGCCACGGCGAGCGATGTTTGCCGAAGCAGGTAGTGGGTGGAAGACCTGGCATGAGGGTATGAAAACTCTAACCAGGCGTTTAGGTCACACAGGTCCCGTTAGGCTCCCTGGATGGGGACCTCAGGATGGTCGTACCCGATGGTTAGAGACACTGAATGATATTGCTGGGTGTCGTAAACAGTGGCTTTTATGCATTTTTTTAATTTCTCTGTATCATTAATCCACTCAACTTTCAATTTTCTCTTCGATCCTACTTTCAACCTTTCCTGTCTTTCTCCTAATGTTCATCCGAATGGGCAGCCGAAAGATAGCAACCAAAACCGGCGCACATGGTTAATGGTTGTGCAAACTGAAACTGAAAACTACGCCTCTTCTTGGTTTATTTGGGATTAGGAATTTTAACTAACTCCCCTAGGTGAACTGCCGGGGGTTAACCGACCCGATTATTGGCTTTGCGTTCTCTCAGTTTGATGCGAAAACACCTGCATCACGATAAGGCAATGAGTTGGGCTTCTTTCGAGAGGGTGTTTGAGACACTTGGTCATATGGGAGCATTTCGCGAGGTTCAAGAGGAAGGTGACTGGGCATAACCCAAGACTTCCACTCCCGAGCGTACTGAGACTTTCGGAGGCTGATCACGGTCAAGGCGTTGTTTTTTCAATGAATTAAACACAGAGTATCGTTGTCATGACTCGCTTATGCATTTTGTATCGTGGCAAACCAGATTATATGGAATTTAAACGAAACACAGATTTACACACCTCAAACTAATATGCTCCATTGATTGGCCCGTATACAACATGATGTCAAGTGTGTAAATCTGTCCTCGATGACCAAGTTTTGTTTCCATTTCCACCTACACCCACCGTGTCTTGTTTAGGTTTTGGACAAACAAAATTTCTTTGCGGAACCGGTTGGTCCCAATCTCGCTCCGGATTACCATCTGATCATCAAACAGCCCATGGACTTTTCAACAATGCGAAAGAAAATCGAAGACTCGTTGTATTTGGATATAGCTTCGTTTGAGGCTGATTTTCACCTCATGATAGACAATTGTTTCCAGTACAACCACGAGGACAGTGTTTACTGTGTCGCTGCCAGTCACATTGCGGAACATGTAAGTCTGAGAATTTTTCCTTCAGTTAAAAGCGTCTTCCCTGATTCACCCCACCCTCCCTTCAGACTACTCATCCTCCAATTGTTACATGTTTGATGAATATGATTTTTAGCTTGCTTCCCTTTACCCAGTTATGCAAAAGATGTTCGTTCCGATCAGATTTTGGGTACTGTACAATCGGGTGGTCTGACATAAAGACATTTTATCAAAACCTTACGCCTAGATAAAATCGAGTTAGTCCTATGTTTATCGATCAGCTTTATATATCCACCTGCAGGTTAATCGCTCATAAAAGGAGAGTGTGGATAAGGGTTTAACACATGCTATAATACGGTCTCTTCTGACGTGAAAGCACTACCTTTTCAGACAACTGATCTCACAGTGGGGTTATAGGTACAGAATGAGATGCTACATGGGTGTCTACGTTCAAAATGGCAGTCGATCTTTGGGACCCGCGATGACACTAAAGCAGCTGATGCCGAATGAGAGTACGCGCAATGTCTTCACGTCTGATACAGAACCCAGATCGCTCCTCTTACTGTCTAGACAGTCTGGTGCCGTTACTAGGTGATAACACAATACCACGATTAGATTTGCTACCCTATGTTTGGCACAATCTTTCAACGAGCCTTTTTTGAACGCATGAAGAGGCATTGGTCCTGGATATTATTTCATCAGATTTGTATTTTTATCATATTTCTAACACTGGCATATCATTGCACATCCTTCTTTTTATTGGCGATTCTAGAGAAGCACATCACGAAACCTCGTAGAAACTTCCTAATAGAATGGCTCTTGTAGTTGGACTAGAGAAGTTTCCAGCCCCGTATTGTTTCACAAGGAGCCTGGTGTCGGATCGACTGCCTTTGGGGGAAATCTTCAGAGTTTGTGTACTTTTTGCCTCTTCAAGCGCTATAGATCACGATGTCTGCGTAGACCCACTGATCGAACACTTGTGGGAATGCGTAATTTCACGATACGTCCAACTGGATACTTGAACTGTGTAAAGCATTTTGAATCTTCATTCAATTTTTTTTTTCTTTCTTCTCATTTCACTTCCTTTTATTGAATATGCACAGGTACAATTTTCAGGTAGGCGGAAGCGGCGAAATAAAAGGCTGCCATTCAATACACAATGAGAAAAGTCAGGTGGTGGTGGTGGGATTCGAACACATCTCCGGGGTGATAATTTGGCGACGTTACCACCGGGCCACTACCACCCGTATGCTAATGGTTTCTAATCTCACAGCCAATCTTTTAGAAGAGTTGTGTTTATCCATCTGTTACAAAACAAGTGGCATTTGCGAACTTAAGCTCGTTGTTTATGTTTTTTAATTTCTCCTACTCCTTTGAATCACCGATGTTGGAAAGAATAGAAAAATACCCTATGCCAGATCAACGAAACAAATTTATGTTTCACAAAGCTGGAGACTTAAAACCCTTTCATATGAATGTTTTTGGTGTGATACTTAAAATTCTTGAACGCTTGGCTGTGATCACGTCGTTTTTGATTGGGTCCATGTTTGGCTCTCGCTGAGATGCAGTCTCAAGAGAGTCATTTGTTTGGCTCTGTTCCATTCTTTGGGTTCCTTTCGCGGTTTAGCGTTCTGATTTGGATCCTTGAGCTATGAAGATAGAAACTAATAGTGGTCTTGATATATGAAAAAAAAGTTGCGTGTAAAAGTGCACCTGGTTATTCAAATTGTATCAAGTAGAAGGGACATCACCAAAACACGAAGTTCTCCTTTGCTTTCTTAGGATCATATACAGAGCTCTAACACTGAAGTGTGAGATTCATGGTTTCATCCACTCGACCCAGTGAAAAACCCGAATGTTGACTTTGATCTTTGTGGTCTTCGTACCTTCCATCTCCACGGAAATCTAGCGAGTACAACTTTATTTGGTTCCGTTGGTGTTTCCTGTCAGTTGGTTACGTATTTTCTGTGGGTCTCCCGGTGGCTATACTGGAATTTTCTGCATTCTGCTACACCTGTAATCCAAATTTGCATGGATTGGTGACTTATTCAGTGTTCTGTCTTTTTTGTAAGCGGATTACGAAACCGAGAAAGCCGATTTTCCCCTCTCCACATATCGTTCAACTTCGATCTGTTTCGCATTCATGAATTCCATGGGTAGCACGTAGATCCCACTGTAAGCTTTTTAACTCTCGCGACGTTTTTTGTCAATCGTAATTCGAGCAACTTCAATCTTTGACCTTAACAATCCCCGATGGTACTGTTCTATGCTTTCGCCGGGGCAGAGTAGCAGTTTCGTGCCCTCGAGCAAATCATGAATTTTTTCCTTTTTTCTAAAGATTATTGTACCATGATTTGTTTGGCACACTCTAGATTCAGACGCGTGTGAACTACACAATTTGCTCGGTGGACACAGAAGCCCCCCAAAACCCATCGATTTTGGATTTCATTTTGTACGACAGCCAATCCTGTCGTTCCGTGCTTTGTTTTTGGCAACCCCACTAACTGGAATCGAATAGTTAACTATGCGAGCTATAGGGANTCTAATAGATTATACGTGGTACCGTCATTGATGGTGGTAGTGTACTAATAGACCACACATCTTGCGTGGAGCAACTCTTGAAACATGCCACCCCAGTCCCACGAGGTGGGACGTTCTAATATCCTCGGTCGTTTCCCTTTTGATGCTTTTTCGTGAGATGTTCTTGGTTGAAGTTCCGATCCGCGCGTCAATAATATGCGATTTTTTCTTACTTTCTACTCGTTCAGTTCAATGACTGTTATTCGTTGTATTGCTTTACTTAACGATCAATTTGGATGCTTTCATCGAATGGTTGAACTAAATGCAACTTTTCCATCTTGCGTGCACAGGCCAAGAAAATATTCAGTGAAGCCCACGCGATTGCCCGAACCACTGGTCTATGCTTGAAATCAGGAATCCTCTATCTGGACAATAAAGACATATCGGATCTGAAGTTGAGCCCCCCAAGCGCGACAGAGGATAACACTACACAAGTGAAAGAGAACTACCTCAGTCCGATATCAGTGGAACCGACCCCTCTGTCTGAAATGGAGAGGACAAAGCCAACCGAATCCTCTGTCCTGGACACTAACACTATAGTTCCTTCTGAACCTATACAAATTCATCTGCCTCTAAAAGAACTGGCCAATGGTCCGGTCGCATCGACCACTCGTAGCCGTCTCCGGATTACCGGTCCAGTGCATGAACTCATAGCACGACGTGGTACACTACGAGCATCGAACGGTCATTTGAACGCGTCGGAAAATGCATTTCGACAATCCCGTAAACGACGGTACGTCTATCGGACAAGTTTCCTCTTGTTATTAGTTGAACATTTAAGATTTGCTTGTGATATCAGGCATTCGAGAACGTAGAGAACCTTGAACGTAGATCCGTTGTTTTTTTTGTCTTTTCATGATCTAACAGTGCCTTCTCACGCAGTTGAACGTACGTGGTTGTTCTACCCCCCTCGCCCGCATCGTTGAACGTTCTGTACAAGTTGCCTTCCTTTTGTATGAATAATTTCGTTTGGTCACAACGGAATTATCGAATCATAGGATTTCGACCACAACGCTTCCGTCCTCCTGCCCCACTCCTTAACACCGGTTGTGCAGTCCATCAAACTCTAGCTATGACCCAATAAATATCTTACTAAAATTGCCACGTAAAATTTTAGCTAACCTAATCCTTGTTATGTTATGGCTGATCAATAAGTAACTTCCCATGCATACAGTACTAATGCATAATTATGAACCTCAGTTCGGTACAATCTCGAAATAACTGCAAGATCCGCCTTTCAGAATAGTTTCATTTTCTTTGTTCCTTGTTTTTATTTTTTTCGTCAACTTCACCCACGCACTGTTGTATCTTAGTGCGAGTATATGAAGTGTTGATCTACTGCAAGGTGAAAAATCAGCATACAGACATTATTATAGTAGACATTGTAATACAGGGTGAAAGCATTCTGATTTCGATGTTATTCTATCTCTTCACATTGGTTGATCAAATGGGTAGCCAGAGAAGAACAATCGAAATCAGCGTGTGTGAATGAAAGATCAAACGTTCGGCACGGAAGATGAACTAACCGACTTGGGTTGACCTCAGTAAGCAATACGCGGGCAGCTACGTTTCTCATATCAAATGCAGTTTCATCCCTTTACGTTAAGTCCGTCCTGGCTAACACACTTCAGACATGTGATCTCATCGCTAAATCCACCTTTCTGTGAAGGATCAAGTATATACTGTAGTGTTGCAGGCTGATAGCGTGATGTTGCTTTTTAGGCCTCGGGCGGGAATTTGGTACCATTTTACTTGGACCACTGTGACTATTAAGTAGTCTGTTTATAAACAATAATTTTCAATGCCTAACCGCTTATTGTCTTTCTATTATTCTGTGGTTTTAGACCACAAAATATGTCCATTGTTCTGTCAGCGGAATCTGATTATTATTTCATTCCTCCGTTTTGCTTTTACCACATCTCAGTTATACGTCATCCTGTGCTACCATATTTGAAATTAACGTCATCATTTGACCTTCAGTTGTAATAATAATCATTCGATTACCTATCATTGTAGAATTAGGGGTTTCTACGTCTTCTCAGTCGTGTATTATGCTAGCTTTGACGGTATCCAGTTTATCGCGGACATAGACGATGAACAAACAGCTCATTTGACCCACGTGTTTTTATCATTCGCTAAATCTTGTATTCGTACGTAGTTTACCTCACTGTAAATGTTAGAAGATATTACTCTGGCTCTAAACGTTCGGCTTCACTTTTGTGAAACTCGCTTGTCTATCTGAAGTGGCGCAATCACGGACTTTATTCAGAAAGCTCAGTCTTCGGGTGGAAATGTGCACCTGTTTATAGACAGCTCATTCATAGTTTTTGCAAAGAAACGTTACATCTCCAATCAAGTCAGTGTTGGTTTCCCGTTTAAAAGTTCCGGTTTCTTTACCGCAAATACCTTCAAAAGTGTTTCGTTCTGGATTTTTTTGTAGCGTACCTTCCGGAAGTCCTAATAAAAAACGTCTTTCCGAGTCCATTCGACCGGCAAAACAAGAACGCCTGGATGGCTCACACGCCTCAAAGAATCTTCTTTATTGGCACTCGCAGACAAAGGGTCCTGATTTGTTCAGTCCAGGTGTGCCTGTCTCAACGACCATCACTACCAATATTAGGACAAACGGTACGACAATCGACCACACTGTGGGTGCCAAATGGGCTAGCTCCGATCAGAATGAAACATCTAACTGGATGCTCGGTCGTCATTCGGACACTGTGCGGCCTCGTAGTGGATTGCAATTTTCCTCTGCGGCTGTCGAAAGCGATCAATCAACCGCTCCTCTAGTCCGGAAAAGCCCGGCTTTCACGCACTATCGTCTGAGTCGTCCTTCGCGAGGTGAGGACGAGGATGACGAGGATGATGATGAGGAAGAGGAGGACGAAGATGATGATGATGAAACCGAGGATAGTGAGGATCCAGACACGGGGAATCACAGTGTCCACAAAGATGAGAATAACCCAAACAACCCGATCAGTTTGTCCACAACCACAAATCCGGACCAAACGTCGCCGTCGCGAGTCACTCGGAAACACTGTAGAGGTCGACCTGCTCTGACCTCAGCTGGTCGTTCGTCTCTTGTCGTGACTACCATAGTTGGCAATAGTCGAATGGCTACAGCCATTCGTCGTGGCGATCGTGCCAGACTCCATCGGAAGGTTAGTGTTGATAACCACATCCAAACTCCACGATGAGCCTCGAGAATATATATATATATAATTTTCTCCTAGACTGCTTTTTGCTGCATTAGATTCAATGCGTAATTAACTATTAAAGTTCTGCACCATCGAAACCAACAGTGATAGAACTGGTCTTTCGAATTGAGTCTTTTTGAACATATGATCTATTCGGTACCTCGAAAATGCCAACACACCATTTAAGAAATCGAAGGTTGAGAAACCACAAGAAACAACTGTAAGGGTTCACTAAAGAAAGAACCATGCCACTAACAGATTTTTTTTGGAGTTTTTATTGCGTTCCTCCCGTTGTTGTTGTTGCCGCCATTGTTCAGACATGAACAAACAAAAGATGAAAAACATCTGAAACCGTACCTTTCAAGGTTTCCAGCCGAATACCTTCAAAACCCTTCACATCCCCATCCCACAGGATATCGGCGTAAATATACACACACCACAGAGATTCTGTTTTCTCGTTCATTTGGCTTCAGCTCGTTGTAAACTGACCTTGACCTGCTTCCAAACACGCCCGTCGTGCATGAACAGTTAGGTAAGTTGTAATAACCCGGGCCGTCACTATCCGAGTCATGACAAACGCTGTTACGGGATGATAAGTCTGAGGTTAAGGTTTCCCAGACCTGTCACTCGTTGGTGATCTTGATCACTACTCACATACTGCTCCCACCATGTGCAAACTATAGTACACAGAAATCTGTAGACATCAAACATTTCAAAGTGGTGAACATCTGCACGAACTGACAAGGCTTTAGACGGTAACAATGCATGTATTTTGCCGCTTTGTATTCAACTTTCAAGGTAAGTCTGATGTTATACCTGGGTCACAAATTTATTAAACTAGAGGAATTTAGACATGCCTTCCAGGCTGTTCTCCGCCAGATGTGAAACAGTTCATGCGATAAACAAATTCACTGGCAATTTCCAGCCCGTTCAGGAGCAGGTCCAATCTCCTACTGGTCCCGAGTGTTCATTTTCTATTTCAGAGACGAACAACGAGTTTGCCCCATCAAAATTAATCCAGCAGTATTCGCCGTGCTTGAGACATGAGACCGATATCATTAATTTATTCCAAAGAGATCATTCCTTTTCCGGATCGGAGTTGTGCTTCTTTCTTTTTTGCGACCAGACAGCTCTCTTTTAAGTTTTTTATCTACGGGAGGTTAGAAAACGAACCGTAAGAGGGGGCATTCTTGCGGTACTCCATTAGACAGGGTAAGGTGGGTGAGGGGAGGGGAGGGGGGGGCGAAAGCTTACTGCAGGCCCTAAATCGTCCTGAGGTCTGTCGGTAGTGTCTGGTGGACTGTGACAAGTTTCAGTTACCACTGCGTCTTGTGAGACATTCTGATAAAGCAGTTCCGTTGAGTGAGTATAACTCGGCGTTTGTGAGTCTTTTTTAAACGTGACAGTGTTGAAGTAACTGACGCGGAGAGAAGAATTGAC